GTGGCCGAAGACAGGAGACTTCGTGTTGGGATTTAACTGTTTATTTGGGCGAACCTGTGCCCAGTAAACGGAAAGTCCGATTACAGCAGCAGTCTTGCACAGATAGCAGTCTCGGACTGATAGCGGCGAACGGAGCGTCGGCCTTCGTTCAACAACTGACAAGCGGCGAAGCGCGTCGGCATTTATACTCTTGCCGTCGAATGTTCTAGCGTTATCGCTGGCGGTGGCGTAGGTTCCAGAACAATCTGTACCGTTCGCACAGTAGGCGTGATCTTATCGAAATGATCTACTACAGTCCGGAACGTTCTCGAAAACTGCAGGCGCGGTTTGCGCTGAGAATCGTGTGGTGTTTTTGGGACGATAATGAAAACTTGGGAAGTGGAACGTGGCAATATTTTCTAGCCAACTGCTAAAAACTCGACCCAGTTTGCCAGGAGTGGACTTAGTAGCTTCTTGATAACAGCAGTCTGGAAGAATAAAATGGCATCGAAGACCGAACGATGGCAGGATACAACTGTCATAATATAGGGAGGATGAGTGAAGTAACACCTTGACGGAAGGTGGTGCAAGAAGGTGCAAGTGCGATTACTTCGCCTGTGTGCATCACCTTCACCTCCAATCATGGCTGGTCAGTCAACTTTTCGTATCACGTGCGCTATTTTGTTTGGCAAATGACTTGGCGGGCCGTGCCAAAGGGGGAGATCGAGCGGCCGTGGCAAAGCCAACCAGCTTCCCTGACACACATCTACGCCCCGTATGAAGAACTGGTGCTCGCGGCTCCTTGTCCCCCATCCAGCCCCTTCCACCACACCAACAGCCTCTGGACGTACAGCCACGGCCACGTCTGTGTAGAGCTTGCGAGCCGTCCGTTTTTATTCTGCGGCACGAAACCTTGAGGGAGTATCGGGCTCGGAAGTGGACAGCCTGACAAGTAGACAATGCATGTTCCTGACACACCACTTTAAAGTAGTGCACTGCACGGGCCTGATTTTTTGGCCCGCGCCCAGCCCAGGCCCGCTTTATGAAGCCCGAGCCCAGCCCGGGCCCGACCGTACATGACCGACCCCAGCCCGAGCCTGAGGTTCCAAGCCCGGGCCCGGCCCAGGCTCGGGTGTTCATTGCTAAACTTGCTAAACTGATGATTAGGCTCGGCCTGGGCCCAATAGAGAATATTAGTTGTTGACTATGACTATTAATGATGCTTTGCGCTTTGCAGTGGGGAATCAAAGGGAAAATTCAGTGTGCACATGCGTTGAAATGTTGCTTTGCCTGCAGTGATAACTCAGTGGTTAAACTGTCTTGCTCTTAAGTAGTAGGACGTGGGTGCGATTACCACAACCACGGCGGCCGCATTTTGACGGGGCCGAAGGCAAGAACACCCGTGTACTTATCTTTAGGTGCACGTTAAAGAACTCCAGGTGGTCTGAATTATTCCGGTCTCCACTACAGCGTGCCTCATAATCATATCGTGGTTAAGGAGCAAGGAATATAGATGAAATGTTGCCTATATGTCACATTGCAATTCATTAAAATAGCAGTATAGGGAAAATAAAACATAGCAACAAAATTTATTGAAAAGTATACAACTAACATGAAAAAGCGGATAGAATCAAACCCGGGACATTTTTGTTGATTCTATTTTCTACACTGACATTATAAACATTATTTACATAATTTTTTAAGAGGATCATCATTATTAATTTCTTGCAGGAAGATAAAAAACTTTAACATTATATATTGAGATCAGCCACCAAAAGCAGATGAAATATATATTTTTCGTATTCTGACGCCGTCACGGAAACGCAATTGCCATTTACAATATAATTATATAATTAAGCTGCTACACACCATGCTTGATGCTATTTCAGATAAAATGTTTCACCCTTTTTGTGAAATAAAGATAGAAAATACGCTTAAAATAACACTCAATGACACAAAAAGACTAGAAAAAGGCAAAAATCTGCATGTTCTTGCACAAAAACAGCAAGTTGTCTACTCTCTCCGGCTTCAAGCAGGTCCTCCTGTCTTGGAGTACGTACCCAGCAGCACTAAAATTGCATTCGCTGCTGGCGCTCATGGATGGGAAAGTGCTTTTTTTGCAAGAAGTCAAAGCCCACGGTATTTCCTACGATGGGCTTCCCACCATTCAAGCAGTTTTTCAATGTACTCACATGAGTCACTGTCCCAAAGGTAACTGTCAACCTCACTGTCGGCTGGTTGAGTTTCCGAAGCATCGCGCCACTCCTTAAATTCGTCAAGGGACGTACGCTTCGCTGGGGGTTCATAATCAGGATGATCCGTGCTGGTTCCTCCTTGTGGCAAACGCAGATGTACATCGATTAACAGTTCGCGTACTCTGTCATGAACACTTTTCCTTTCCTGCTCATCAAGAGCGCGGAGATGACGGAAAGGTGGCCACAAGAACGTTGCCACTTTGTGAACCTCTTCTATGGGCAGTTTTATTTGAAGGAATTCTAGTGTCCTCGACTTGAGCTGGCACACTTCTCGTGAGTCTGTTGAATCAGCAGTAAGGTGCTTCTTCAGTTTTGTGTAGTACATCAGTACAAGGGGCAGCGTTACCAGTTTATCCTGCTCAAGCGTTTCGCTGGCCTCTTTGAAGGGCCCCGAGAATTCGGCGGCCTCCGTCAACAAAGTCTAATTGACGTCTTTCAAGAGCAGATTTCCCCTTGAATCTTGGAGGTTCTCTATCGCATCGTACTGACTTAGCACGGACTTGATCATGGCAAGCTTTGAATTCCACCGCGTGCATATCTCCTGGCACACACCGTGTGGTAGCAGGCTTGTCAGTCCACTCTATTTTACAAAAAGTCACGACAGCTTTCACTTTTTGCAGTTGTTCCAAAAGGTCGGGAAGTTCCTGAGCGAGGTACCTGTCATCAAACGCGTTCCGAAAAATGGTGTTCAGGACGTGCACACAGCAGTTCATCCTCGCATATGGATGCAGCGTGCTAATTATGTTGGCACCCTGGTCTGTCACAAACACTTCATTGCTCAACATGCCTTCATCAATCCCAAAGTTAGCGCTCCTTCGTGCAATCTCCTTACGAATGTTCTCTCCCATTTTTCTCTCGGAGGGATAGTCACTAGTGAACAGAACAAGACTCCTCAGTTCCCATTTCACACTGACGTAATGAGCCGTTGCAGTGATATAGGCAATTGTCTTGTAATCGTCGGTCCACATGTCAAGTGTCATCAAGCAGCAACCTTCCTTAATCGCCGACTGAATCTCAGGCATCACCACTTTTCGGAGTTCGTTTGCAACTTCATACACCCTGCGATACACTGTCGTAGGATGCGGAATCACGGTCCTCGCGGATATGCTCCTGTACTTGGCACCGATAGCAATCAGTTCATCGGCAACATTTAGGAATCCATCATCGCAAACAACGTCAAATGGCCGCACATCTTTAGCGCACCACTTCACGCAAGCAGTCGTCAGATTCCCCTTAACAGAAAAACGAAGAAATGCCAGTGGTGTCACCAACAGCCTTGCACTTGTGGCGGCTCAGATGCGACGTTCCTGTCTTCCTACCATCATATGCGAAGAAAGCTTTGCATCTTTTGCACTGCACATGTCCTACTGTTGATAAGGTGTGTACCTCGACAACTTGCAGAAATTATTTCCAAACCTCGCTTTTCTTAGCTTGCTTGCAGACGAGCTTAAGCTCGCTGGCAGCGAGCTTATCTCACAATACAGCTGCATTCATAGCACCACGTGTGGCTTGAAGCCCAGGCCCACACTTCAAGCCCAGGCCTGGGCCCGCCCAAAAACGCTTCAGACAGCCTGGCCCGGGCCCGTGCAGTGCTCTACTTCAGAGCCCGACAGTGCCTCAAGCTTTCGTGGCGTCGGGCAAAAACCGGCTGCTCGCGTGCTCTACACAGACGTGGCTGCGGCTGCACATTTAGGGCTCGAAAACCTCAGCAAGAAGTACACGCTGGCATGTGAGCTACACAAATCAGCCATGGCAAAACTTCATGACAGGCTGCGGGGCACCTATTGGTGTTCACACGCCACTTGGCCACGACTGCCTGTGTCATACCATCGAACAGCACCTTCCATTGGCAGCCCACTAACTCGCTGCCACGTCACCGCAGCTGCTCGTGGCGATCCTTTGCAACTCTTGGCTAGCCCTACAAAGGCTTTTCCAAACAGACCAAGCAGGCATCACCATGGCATTGCTGCACGCCAAACTAACCACCATCCAAGATAGCGGTGTGTGCCTGTCGCTCCATTGGCTTCCATTCCACGTTAGGATAGCTGTCAACAAGGAGGCTGACCCCGCTGCTAAGGCGGCAGCCCAGTAAGATTACTCCTGGCAACGATTGCGGCTGCTCCTACCAACAGCCCACTCTGACAGATGGGTGGAAAGCGGCAAGCCTCCGCCTCCCCTTCGGGAGACCGGCCTGAACAGAAGTGAATGGCGGTTGCTGGTTCACCTGCACACTGGCAGCACGGGTGGTTACTCGTACAGTATGCCAGCATCAAAGTACTATTATCAGGGGAAGCATGCTCAAGCGTTTATGAGATTTCCGTCTGTGGGAGGACAATGCGCGTGGACATGAACCATGCTGGTTCGGTGCCCAATGTTCATTCTGATTGAGTGCTTTGCTTTGTTTCCACAGACAATAAGGTTTTGTGTGCGTGGAAACACTGCAATAGTTAAATCACGTTGGCTTAAAAACATACACTGCTGTTGAGACAGCAAAAGCTTTATGGCAGAGTTGTGTTCATGAGTGATTCAGTGGCTGTTGAGGTACCACAGTGTTGCGCAGGGAAGCAGTTCGGGAGCATGAAATATGCACTGCAGGAATTGGTAGCTTGAGTGAAAAGTTAAGGGTCTAATCGCCTTATCAATATATGCTGATATGTATTTACTACCTGTACACTGACAGCCGTTTGCAAAAGCTTTTCCCATGAAGGACCTTTAACAAGCTTTTGGAAACAAAGTAGAGATAGCAAAGGGTGTATTATTACTGACCTCTTGGTCTGGTCGGAGATGGCTGTTGTGGGATCTCCCCCGCCTTCATCCTCCTCGTCTTGCTCAGATGGAGATCGCTGATGCTCCTCATCCATTGCATTTTCCACTATATCTTTGCAACCAGTATCGTCAGAATCTGACAAGCTGTCGTCAACGTCACTGCCTTGGAAGCTTCCATCTGGGTATCATAGGAATAAACACTTTAATAAAGATAAATCGCAAAAATAAACTTCCCACATATAAGAAAAAATAGTACTGCAATTCAAAGTAGACATGAAAACACATAATGCTGAGCCCAGTTTCAATGAGGCTGTGCCAAACTCCACTTTAAAGGCTAACTGTAATTAAGTTTTGCACAGCTCAAAAAGCTGACTTAAAGGCAGTCTGGCTGGTATAATGCTACCTGCTAAATGTCGCTTTTGCAATACAAATGGCTACAAAAAAAAAAAAAAAACTGCCGAGAACGCTGTTTCTGATACAGAAACTTGGAAAACAACACCATTGCAGCTGATCAAAAGTGACGCAGATCCCAGCCTGACTGATTGACCTAGACGAAGTGTTTGCTTTGCTTTTTTAAGTAACCTGAGATCTTTTTTTTTAATGTTAGAAAAAAATAGAGAAAAACTGGGTAAACATCCACTATGAATAAAAGACAGATACATGCTCATAAAGGTTCTTGTGCTTGTTACAGCACTTCTTCAAGTAATGGCTGCCCACAATGGACCCATGACATGGTTTCGGGAAGAAACCAGACCCATGATTGCAGAGTTGGTGTAGCGACAGTGATCGCAGAGGTTGCCCAAGTGGTGAAAAGCCCCGTCGTCTTCCTCCAATCTGAGTGAGCTTCCTCGTTCTCTTTACCGCAACATCACCCTCCCAGCGGACGTAGCTCCGTCCCAGTGCACATCATGGAGCACCAGTTGAGGCGGGGATGTATGGCTTGAGCCTGGCGACGTGAACAACGTCGCTGTTGACGTGAGGTAGCAAAAAGATGTCGGCTGGTGAAATCTCGTACGTCACGTGAGACAATTAGCATAAGATCTTGTACGGACCAGAGTAGCCATAGAGGAGTTTTTCAGCCAAGCCGACACGGCATAAGGGCGTCCAAAGGAGAACAAGAGAACCGGGAGGAAATTGTGTGTCTCGGTGCTGACGATAGTAGCGTCGCTTTAGAGAAGCTTGCGATATTGTGAGGCGTTGATGAGCAACCTCTTGGGCATGGGTGGCCAAAGCGATTGCATCGCAAGCGTAATCGGTCTTTGAGAATTTGACACCAGATGGTAGCTACGTGTCGAACGGCAAGACAGGGTCGCGGCCATACAAATAGTAAAATGGCAAAAAACCAGCGGTTTCGCGACGGGACAAATTATAAGCAAAAGTTATGTATGGCAAAGCAGCACCCCAGTCATGGTGATCGTCGGAAACGTACATGGCAAGCATGTCAGTTAAGAGTGCGGTTCAGTCGCTCAGTGAGCGCATTCATTTGAGGATGGTACGCGGTAGCGATCTTGTGTTCACTAGAACAGGAGCAGAGCAGGTCATCGACGACCTTCGAAAAAAAGCAATGACTATCATCCTTTAGTAACTGCCGAGCGGCGCCGTGGTACAGAATGATGTCGTGAAGTATAAAGTCCGCAACATCTGTAGCACAGCTAGTCAGTATCGCACGTCCAATGGCGTATTTTGTGGCATAATCTGTCGCGATGGTGATCCACTTGTTCTTTTTGGTAGAAATGCGGAATGGGCCAAGGCGGTCGAGGCCCACAAGAAGGAATAGTTCTGTTTGAACCTCAATAGGTGACCAGTAAGAGCGAGGGATTGTGGGATGCACCGTCTGTGGCCGGCTTCTGGTTCGAGGAGAGTAGGCGACGGTGAACCGCACCGCCGTAAGCCTCAGATTATTCAGGATTCACGCGCGTGGTCACCCATTTATCTTTGTCCTGCTAAACCATGGTCGGTTTTTCAGCCATTGCCTGCTCCAACCCGATCGTGAAAGGCAAACGCATGTATCGATTCTCATAGAACGAAGAAAGAAAAAATGAAGTGGGCCGCAGCTGTGAAGAGAGCCGCAGCGACAAGTAGCCTTTGAGTACCGAACTTGGGATCCAGAGTGTGCGAAGACCATTTTATCACAAGCACGTTTATATTCTGCACTAATAAAAGCTTAAGCATGAATTCATACGAATATTATATCCCGAAACAAATTGTCAAGCAGGTGCGCCTAGCAAAGATATTATGGGAATGTGGGCGAAATCTACCTGTCATATGAGATGAGCGCCAGCATTGCATGCCCATATGTATGACAAAAAAAAGTGAAAACTTCACTCAAGAATAAGCTTACACGAAGCACTGGACGAGTCCGTTTGCGTTTATCTTGGTCAAACTGTGCATAAGGACGACACACAAAGCAAGAAGTTAGTTAAACAAGCACAGGTATTCGATTCTTCGGCGCCGTCTATGTCTGACTGTATTGTTTATTTGCCGCCGAGCCAAGCAGCTTCACCAAGATCAGCGTTCAAATAAGCGTGCGGCTTCGACAAAGAAATGCCTCTTATAGTGCGCTGAAGGCTATCAAAAAAGATATCTCAACGCGCTTGATAAATGCAGCGCTTCATGCCGATCGACCGATAATTTCGGCTGAAGCAGCAATCCCGAAATGAACTCTTAGTACACTGCTAGAGTGATTACCATCCGCTGAGATCTTTAAAATTGTGATTTTTTTATCTGAAGTAACGTATCATACAATGAAAACTGCCTTCTGTATCGACTGATCTGCTAGCAAAACTGACAGTACCCCTGAGCAGCATAAAAGCATTGCAGAGCATTTTGGTGCGATAAAAAGTTTCCTTACTGTTCATGGCTTTCGTAGCTGGTCATTGTCGCAGTCACGGCGAGCAGAAACAAACAAAAAAAAAGAACAACTACTAAAGCACTGACATTGCACAGAGAGGAGCTTTTTTCAACGGAAGGATACAAAAGTGCATGCGTGCCGCTGCTAACCCGCGTGGTGTGTCGAACCGGAAGCCGTCGTATCCTACAGTTCCCAGCGTTTGCCTATTTTACCTGTCACCTATTGGCTGAAGCAAACCAGCAGGAGGCAAAGCAGGCGTCTTCCCCCACTGACACAGGCCCAAGAAGCGACATAGTGGCCCACAAAGCGATAGAGACCAGGCGAAAAGAAGCAGCGCTTTGCGCGGTCGTAAGCACGAGTGACACACATATGTCCAGCAGTAGGAGCGCTGTGAAATACCTGGAGCACGGCCAGCCTCATGTGCTTGGGAATGACTAATAACTCAGGACCATAAGACTGAATGTTGCGGCAGTACAAAATGCCGTCATGCAATATGAACATCCGGAGAGAAGAGTAGGTGGGTGCGTAGTTTAGGCGGTCCATAAGGTTTTAAGAACGGGGTCTTGTCGTTGCTCGCTGCCTATGTGGAGAAAGCCGAATGTGGAAAGATTAGAGATGTCCGTGTTGCTATCGGTGTCATTCGATTGATCCACAGGATTGCGAGAAAGGCAGTCAGCATTATTGTGCATGCGTCCAGAATATTTATGCACTATTGTGAAGTCATACTCTTGTAGACGCAATGCCCAACACGCAAGTCGTCCAGTTGGGTCCTTCAAAGAAGAGAGCCGACAATGGACATGGTGATCAGAGATGACACGGAAAGAACAACCAAACAAGCCGCAAAACGAGAGCAAGGCATTCTCGCTCAGTTATCCAGTAATTGCATTCGGGCGTGGAGAGAAGGCGACTCGCATAGGTGATGACATAGTCGTGGCCCTGTTGATGCTGAGTGAGAACAGCGCCGATACCATGACCGCTCGCGTCAGTGCGGACTTCAGTGAGCATGGAAGGGTCGAAGTGCAAGAGAATCGGTAAACATGTAATCCACTCAATAAGGGTAGAGAATGCTCACTCTTGATGCGGTCCCCAGAAGAAAGAGGTATCCTTCTTAAGTAGGTCGGTCAAAGGACGAGCGATGTTGGCAAATTTCTTTACGAAGCGACGGAAGTATGAGCATAAACCCATAAAACAGCAGACATCTCTCGCCTATGAAGGGAGAGAAAAATTTCGCATAGCGCGAACCTTTTTTGGGTCAGGTTGGATTTGTGCAGCATTTAGGAGATGTCTGAGCACAGTAATTTCACGGTGACAGAGGAATTCAGCTGAAGGCCAGCAGAGCGAAACACTGAGAGTATAGTTCTGAGGCACTGCAGGTGGCTTTAAAAAGTCACCGAAAATAGGATCGCGTCGTCTAAATAACAGAGGCACATTGACCATTTTAAGCCACGCAAGAGGAAGTCCATCATGCGTTCGAATGTAGCTGGAGCATCGCATAGTCCAAAAGAGGGGAAGTGATTTTAAATGAGAAGAAGAGAAAAATGAGCCCCATAACTGTCTCTCAGGGGGAGGACACTTCAACAGTAGCTCACAAGGGGTGGGGGTGAAGGAGGAATAAAAAGAATAGGATTAAAAGGCAAAAAGATAGAGAGACAGGAAGGAGAGAGTGAGGCGCAGGAACAGCGAACGACGGAAGTCATGACTTTGAACTGGTATAAGCCATCTGGTATTACGAAGGCAGTTTTTTTGCGGTCCATCTCATCAATGCTGATCTGCCAATAGCCTGAATGAAGATTGATTGAAGAAAAACAGTTCAATCCATGAAGACAATCGTGTCATCTATGTGGGTCAGTGAATACACATCTTTTTTTGGTTGCCCGGTTCAGGTGACGGTAATCGATGTAGAAGTGCTACGAGTTGTCTTTTTTCTTTACCAAGAGCACTGAGGATGCCTAAAGGCTACTCAATGGTTCACCGATGTGCTTGTCGATCATCTTGTCAACCTCTTTTTGTACGAGGGTCCTTTCTGCAGCACAGATGCGATATGGCCTCCTACAAATGGGGTTCGCGTCACCGGTGTTGATGCGATGGGTGACAACAGACGTCTGTCCCAGAGGCCGCTCATTCAAGTAAAAGATATTTATGTAAGATGACAGCAGTTGACGAAGAGCTATTGTGTGTTCCTCAGAAAGGTCAGTCAGGGGCAATCATCTTACAAATGTTGTCTGCAGTCAACGAGGACAAAGCAATCGGCGACAAAGGTGTGCTGCTATCGGAGGGAGATGCAGTGAGCAAAGAAGAAATGTTTTATTCTTCCATAGGAGAGAGAT